AAAATTTATTATTAATTTAAATGAAAATTTACAGAGACTTTGGATTTCCATTCCAATGAATGCAACAATGAATTAATGGAAATCCAAAGTCTCTGTAAATTTTCATTAACATTAATAATAAAAAATTGAGGGGGGGAACCCCCCAAAGTTCGTATACATTGTTTTTCACACAGAATCTTTCTCATTTCCTTTACACACCCTTCCCTCTACCCATCAAACTGTGCAACCTGCCCATCCTCACCCCTATGTTCCTCCATCTCCACCTTGGATCCTCGTTCGCATTTTACTAGTTATCTTTCTATTTCTACACTTTCTATTTTTCTATTTCTGTCTTATACATATTTGTCCTTGTGGGACCAAGTTAGTGTACTTAACAACATGCTCCCCAGTCCCTTCCAAGTTAGGTAGTGATTTTCAAAATCATTGCTCCTGCATGCTGTGTAGTATTCCACCTTGTGAATGTACCACAGTTCCTCAATCCATGTGATTGTGGTTGGACATTTGTCATGTTTCCATGTTCTTATGTTGGTAAATAACGCTGCTATGAACATTGGTATGCAAATCTCCATTTGTGTTTCATTTCTAATATTTTCATGGTATATTCCATGCAGTGGACTAGTTGGATCATATGGAATTTCTATGTTTTGTGTTCTGCTTTTTGAGGAAATGCCAGAGTGCTTGTACCACTTTAAAATCCCACCAACAGTGTATAAGAGTTCCTGTCTTGCCACATCTTCTCCAACATATATTACTTGCTGTCCTGTTAAACTTTGCCACTGCTACTGGAGTGAAATTGTGGTTTTGATCTGCTAGGGATTTATAGTATTTCTTCATGTGTTTGTTGGCCAGCCAAATATCTTTCTCTGTGAAAGGTCTTTCCAGATCTTTTGCCCATTGTGTGATTGGGTTATCAGTCTTTTTCTTGTGGAGGCCCTATAAGATTCTATAAACTTTTGATATGAGACCCCTGTCTGAGACAGTATTGCAAAATGCTTGTTTCCAGTCACTAGGGTTGTTTTCTTTTCACTCTGTTGGAAAATGTTTTTGATGCACGTAGGGATTTAATATTTAGAAGGTCCCCTTCATTAATTTTATTCTCTCCTGGTTGTATTTTTCTGGCTGTATTTGTCAGGGGTTTTTTTATACCAGGAGGTAGGCCTTCTAAGCTTGATCCTACTTTGTCTCATATGATCTTTATGGCTTAGGGCTTTACCCCTATCCTGGGTCTCTGATGCATCTTGAGTTGATTTCTTGTGTATGATGAGAAGTATGCATCCTGAATCAACTTTCTGCAGATAGCAGTCCGGTTTTTCCAGCACCATTTGTTAAAAAAGGTTGTCATTTCCTCATTTGATAGGTTTTGTTTCCTTATTGACTATCAGTTATCCATAGATAGATGAATTGATTTCTAGGTTCTCAATTCTACTCCATTGGTCTATGTGCCTGTCATTGTATTAGTACTATGCTATTTTGGTCATTACAGCTGTGCAGAAAGGTTTTGTATTAATGCAAAACCTATACTTGGACCAGGAGGCAGTCATCAGAACAGAGCAAGGAAACACTGCATGGTTCAAAATTGGGAAGGGCGTACATCAGACATGAGTCCTATCTCCATA